ATCATGCAGGGTATCAAGCCTAAGTCTTTTGAAGAATTGGCTACACGCCCTCATGATATGGAGCTAAGTATGTCTTCAAGTGTAAATCAAGGGCCACCTATTTATGAACCTCGCAAAGTGAAGGATAAACAAGAAATAAAAAAGGAGGCAAGTTTTTGTCGAAGTCTGAGAGCAAGGAATCAATGAATGTTAATGCCTCGCCATTAAAGGTCACTGCAAAGTGAGTAAGAAGCAAAGTGTGAAGACAATATCCTTACAGGATAAAGTTGGCCGAAAGTTAACTCTGAAGGAAATGCAAGTGAAACAATATCCATTCTTGGACTCCGATGTCCCAACAATTTTTGAAGAACTCCTTGAGTTGAAACTTATTGTGTTGCCTGAAATGAAGCGGCCAGACAAAGCTGGAAAGACTAATGATCCAAATTATTGCAAGTACCATCGGTTGATTGACCACCCTATTTCAAAGTGCATTGTCTTTAAGGAGAAAGTCATGGACTTGGCCGCTGAAGGAAAACTCTTGCTTGAGGATGAGAAAGACAGTTCGAATCAAGTCTCTTTCGTTTTTGGTTCACTTAATCCCATTGTCCTTTGTAATTTTGTCGAAGTACATGAATGTGATGACATCCAAACTACATCATCACCAAATATGATTAAATTTGGTGACTTTCAACCTATCAATATGAGCAAACCATCGCTTCTCCCTATGGCATATAAACTAATAGTGGAGGAAAGATCTCAAGAGAAATGTGAATCACATGATGATCAAACTGATGATGAAGGTTGGATTCTTGTGACTCGGCTGAGACACTACAAGACAAATTCACAAAGGGAGTCAAATAAGCAGTTGACTAGGGTTAAAATGGTGAAAAGACCCAAGAAGAAAATGATAAAAAAGAACTGGAAGAAAGCAAAAATGGCGGAGAACCACTATCAAAGGCTACGTCGTCCAGTGACATTAGAGGAATTCCTGTCAAGCTGGTTACACCCGCGGGCTTCCTGTGAATATATGAAGGCCTCATGTTGTAAGATAGATGAAGAAGAGACAAAGAAGGAGGATCCATCATTGCTGCCACCTCCCTTGCCTGAAAAACTCACTGGGAATTCTGAAGAAGTGGACATTTGTGATGCAAAAATCACATTTACTAATGATGATCTTTTGCTTGGTGAAACACACTATAATCGCCCCCTATTTATGGTTAGCTTTGTGCGAGAACAGAGAATAAGTAGAATTTTGATCGATGATGGGTCTGGTGTCAATATTCTCCCAATTCGTACTGTCAAAGAGCTTGGCATACTGATGGATGACCTGTGTGAAAGTCGTTTGATGATTCAAGGGTTCAATCAAGGGGGCAAAGAGCTATAGGGGCTAACAAATTAGAAATAAATATGGGAGATTTGTATTTGAGTGCATGGATGCATGTGATCGATGCAAAAACCTCAGATAATATCTTGTTAGGAAGGCCATGGATACACGAGAACAAAGTGGTTTCATCCACCTACCATCAGTTCTTGAAATATTGCGAAGGTGGGGTCGAAAAGAAGATAGTTGCTGATGATAAGCCTTTTACCGAGGTTGAATCATACTTTGCCGATGCAAAATTCTACTTAAAGAATTACGTCTCAAAGGAGGTTAAGGTTGATGATGTGATATTGACCAAAAGTGTTGCAAAGAAGGTTGATGCAACAACTAGCAAGGAAAATATTATAGTTGAAAAAGATCAGGTGCTTCATGATAGGAACAAGATGAAGGAGGCATCTTCAAGTAAGAAAGTGACTCATGTTCTTCGCTATGTCCCAAAGGAAAGGAAGGTCGAAGATCCATATTCTAAACTACAAGGTAAGGTTTTAGGAGACTTGACCCTTCCTATCAAGCGAATTGATGCAATTAAGTCATCTACCAAGTTGCTTAGAGGGTTTGTCAAATCATCAAGCCACAATTCGCTTCTAAATCTAGCACTTCCTGCAAAGCGCACAGATAAGGGCTTTGACCCAAACGCCTACAAGTTGTTAGCAAAAGCTGGATATGAACCCAACGAACCATCCAAGTTGGGAAAGCTCCCGCTTGAGGCTTCAAACCCTACTCAAAAGATGATGATGGAGAAAGGGTACCCACTGAAGCAATCACGTGAAAGATTGGGTTACAAACAACCCCCGCCAATCTGTATCTCCATTAAAAGGGCAAGTTGTAACTACATTACTGCTAAAGAAGTGTCTATGACGCTTAATAAGAAGCCTTCTATGTTTGATCAACTTATGAAGCCAAAGACCTCAGTCTTTGATAGTTTGGGACCACTGAAGAAGGAAAACAAATATCATGGAAGTGATAGAAGGATTGGAGCACCTATCTTCGCTAAAAAGGAGATTTTGACCACAGACTGCCCAAGTCTGATTCCTTCTAGAATGAGGCGAGAGACCAAACTTGTAGTTTCATGTGAAGAGGTCCTCAAAGCAAAGGCACATACTATAGTACACACTAAAGAATAAGAGGAAGATGAAGAAAGTGTGGGGTCATCATATCATATCACCATTCATGATGAACAAAATGCTTCATCTTATATGGAAGTCAAGGAAAAGTGCCTTGATATTCATGTATGTCATCACATATCTTTCAATGATGGTGATCCTCAAGAGGATGAAGATGCTAAAGATGCACCACTAGAGCTTGAATAAGGGGTGAAGACAATGGTTGATGCACTAAAAAAAGTCAATATCGGAGTAGTTGAAGATCCAAAGCCCACGTATATAAGTGCCTCTCTAACTGGTGATGAATAGAGCAAATATATTGAGCTACTTAAGGAGTTCAAAGATGTATTTGCTTGGAGCTACAAAGAAATGCCAGGTTTAGACCCCAAGGTGGATGTTCATCATCTTGCTGTCAAACGAGGTGCTCGTCCTGTAAAGCAAGCACAACGTCGCTTCAGACCTGAACTGGTTCCCTTGATCAAAACCAAAGTTAACAAGCTTATTGAGGCTGGTTTTGTTCGTGAAGTTAAATATCCTACATGGATTTCAACCATTGTCACTGTAAGAAAGAAGAATGGCCAAATCCGAGTTTGTGCTGACTTTAGGGACCTAAATAATGCTTGTCCTAAGGATGGATTTCCTCTTCCTATCCCTGAGCTCATGATTGTTGCAACAACTGGATACAAGGCAATGTCTTTCATGGATGGTTCATCTGGATATAATCAAATTCGCATGGCACCAAAGGACGAAGAACTTACTGCCTTTCGCACCCCTAAAGGTATATACTGCTACAAGGTGATGCCTTTTGGTTTGAAGAATGTTGGTGCTACATATCAACGTGCATGCAAAATATTTTTGATGACATGCTTCATAAAAACATGGAGTGTAATGTTGATGACTTGGTGGTAAAGTCAAGGAAGAAGGATGATCACTTGCAAGATTTGAGGATGTTATTTGAACGGTTTTGGAGATACCAACTCAGAATGAATCCGTTGAAGTGCACTTTTGGAGTTACTTCTGGGAAGTTCCTCGATTTTATTGTTCGACATCGAGGTATCGAAATTGATCAAGCTAAGGTGGATGATATCATGAAAATGCTCGAGCCTAAAGATATTCATGAATTAAAAAGCTTGCAGGGTAAGTTGGCATATCTTAGGAGATTTATTTCAAATCTGGCTGGAAGATGCCAACCATTTAGTCGCCTCATGAAGAAAGGGGTTCCTTTTGAATGGGACCAAGCTTGCAGAAATGCTTTTGAAAGAATCAAGTTTTATCTGATAAAATCTCCAGTACTAGTAGCCCCCATACTTGGAAAGCCATTAATATTATACATTTCAGCACACGAAAGGTCAATGGGAGCGCTTCTCGCTCAAGGAAACAATAAAGGCAAAGAAAATGCGCTTTATTACTTGAGTAGGATGATGACTCCAAATGAGCTCTAGTATTTGCCTATTGAGAAGTTATGTTTGGCACTTGTCTTCTCTATTTAGAAGCTGAAGCATTACTTCCAAGATCATGTTGTGTGACTCGTCTCAAGAGCGAACCCTATCAAGTTTGTCATGTATAAACTAGTCCTAAGTGATCGATTAGCGAGATGGTACCTCCAATTTCAACAATTTGAAATTGTGTATATTCCTCAAAAGATAGTAAAAGGACAAGCATTAGCAGACTTCCTAGCTGACCATCCGATTCTAGATGATTGGGAGTTGTCTGATGAATTGCCTGATGAAGATGCAATGGTCATAGAAATTCAGCCTCCTTGAAAGATGTATTTTGATGGCGTTGCACATCGTGAAGGAGCTGGCGCTGGAATAGTGTTTTTCACTTCTTAAGGAGAAGTTTTGCCCTATTATTTCACTCTGACACAACAGTGCTCCAATAATGGTGCTGAATATCAAGCGCTCATACTTGGGCTTGGAATGGCTGTGGATATTAGACAATTACAATTACAAGTTTTTGGAGATTCCAAGTTAGTGATAAATCATATTTTGGGTAGCTATGAGGTCATAAAGCCAGAGTTGGAGCCATATCACAAATATGATCAAAACTTGGTAAGTTGGCTTGGAGAGGTAACTATTTAACACGTGCTGAGAAAGGAAAATAAGAGAGCTGATGCATTAGTAGCCTTAGCTTCTACATTATCTTTGCCTGATCATACACAAGTCGTTGTTTGCCAAAGATGGGTAGTTCCTCCACCAAATGACTATGAGGAAGAAGAAAGCGAAGTTGAGCATATTGCTTCCGTTCTTGAGGTTGAAATTGAAGATTGGCGACAACTGTTAATTGTTTATCTTTGTTATGGGATATTACCGAAAAATCCCCGAAGAAAGACAGAAATCCAAAGGAGAGCCCCTCATTTTCTTTATTATAAGAATACACTCTACAGACGATCATTTGATGGAGTACTCCTACATTGTTTAGGGGCTGATGAATCCCTCTAAGCCCTGCAACAAGCACATTCTGGAGTGTGTGGTGTGCATCAATATTGGCCAAAACTTCACTTCCGCATAAAAAGAATGGGGTATTATTGGCCAACCATGGTGAAAGATTGTTTAGATTACGCTCAAAGGTGTAAAGCTTGCCAATTCCATGCTAACTTCATACATCAACCACCTGAAGTATTAAACCCAACTGTTGCTTCTTGGCTATTTGAAGCTTGGGGTTGGGATGTTGTTGGTCCATTTCCAAAGTCTTCCAATGGACATCTATATATTTTGGCCGCAACTGATTACTTCTCGAAGTGGGTTGAAGCTGTTTCTCTTAAGGAAGTAAAGAAGGAAAATGTGGCTAACTTCATCCGAGTCAATATTATCTATCGTTTTGGCATTCCTCAATATATATTGACGGACAATGGTAAGTCATTTGATAACAAGTTAATGAATAAAATATATAATCTTTTTGGCTTCAAGCAATGCAATTCCTCCATGTATTATGATGCTGCCAATGGACTTGCTGAAGCATTTAACAAGACACTCTACAACTTGTTGAAAAAAGTTGTTTCTAAATCTAAGAGAGATTGGCATGAGAGAATGGAAGAAGCTCTTTGGGCATATAGGAACACATATCGCACACTAACGCAAGCGACTCCTTATTCGCTTATTTATGGAGTTGAAGCAGTACTTCCACTTGAGCGTCAAATCTCATCGTTACGGCTTGCCAATCAAGAAGGACTCACTGATGAAGAAAATGCTCGGTTACGCCTTGAAGAATTGGAAGCTCTTGATGAAAAGAAGCTAGAAGCTCAACAAAGCCTTGAATGTTATCAAGCTCGCCTGTCTCGATCTTTTAACAAAAGGGTACGCCTTAGATCTTTCCAAGTGGGTGACCAAGTTCTTGTGGTCAAAAGGCCTATTATTACCTATCATCGATCTGGGGGCAAATTCTCTGCTAATTGGGATGGACCATATATCGTACAAGAGGTATACTCAAGTGGCGCTTACAAGATAGTTGACTTGGAAGGTTTGTGGATTGGCCCCATCAACGGGAAATTCATGAAGAGATACTATCATTGAAGAAAACAAATATGCTCCTTAATGCATGAGCATAAACTACATGTTACTCCTAGCCCGCAAGAGTATAAACTGTGCACGGTCCAAAAACAAAGTCTACTAGGTTGAAAATCTCGAAAGAGGCGGCTTAGGCAAAAGTTAGGACATCCAAAAAAAATAAAGTCCGCTAGATTGAAAACTTCGAAAAAGGCAGCCTAGACAAAGGACGCAAAAAAAGCTCACTTATTTCGAACTACGGAATGACTTGATCCTCTTCACTGAAGTATGTAGGTAGTTTAGAGTTTCATTCTAAGTTCAGTCATATGAGTTAAAAAATACATATTACCTAAGGCCTTATTCAAAGGAAGTATGATGGAATATATTCACTTGATTGACACTTGTAAATTAGGTATACATGTATTTTTTGTTGAAATCTTTGTCTTATCTTGATGGCCCAAAGGGGGCAAGCCCTCAACGTCAAATTGAGATCTCTGATGGACTGATTGTAGTCTTTTAATAAAAGGCTAAATCTTCAAGGTGAAGTCTCCAATTGTAAGCCAAGTTGATTTTGTTAAGTACACTAGATCATCAATTTGAAATATTCACGCCTACTGAGTCATCGAGTTAAAATCTCCTAATTTACCAAGTCAAGTTAAGGCCTTCGAAATCGTCAAAAGTTGAAGTCTTCAATTCTTTTCAAGTTGAATCACCAAGTTAAAGTCTTCAAGTCGAAGTCTTCAAATCTGTCAAGTCTTCAAGTAGAAGCCTTCAAGTCTGTCGTGTCTTCAAGTTGAAATCTACAAGTTAAATTCTTCCAAACACCAAGTCTTCAATTGAAAGCCAATCAGAAGCCGCCATAATAGTCTTGAAGTCTTCAAATTGAGATAGCCTTCAATTCTTTCGTTGGAAGCTTCAATATATCCCCAAGTAAAGATGATTCTTCAATTGTGAGGCTTTCTTTAATAAAGTGGTATATTTGGAATTGATTTTTTCTTCTACCTGCAAAAAGGAAAGGAGAAACATATTTATATAAAGGAGATTATAAAATTACCTGTGAAGATTGAAATTGAAGAGACAGTCTTGGTAGTTAGTTTTTTTTTTGAAAAATAAATCATTCTTCGTACAATCTCTGATTCATGTATCTCGAAATAAGGACGAGTTTTTGTTACTTTGGGCCAAAAGGTCAAATCTTTAGACTGTAAGTACAATCTATGGCTTAGACGGTGTAATGTTCTTCGCCAAAGATAAAGAAGTCAAATTTTCAAATAAAGTGAAGTCTTTAGCTCAAATTATGTAATGGTCTTCGCTTTAGACAAAATAAATCTTTGGCTCAGACGGTGAAATGGTGTTCGCCTTATATAAAAGTAAAATCTTTGGCTTAGACGGTGCAATGGCCTATGCCTCAGATACAAATAAAATCTTTGGCTGTGGTCTATGCCTCAAATAAAAGTAAAATCTTTGGCTTAGACGGTGTAATGATCTTTGCCACAGATAAAGAAAGTCAAATTTTCAAATAAAGTGAAGTCTTTAGCTCAGACAGTGTAATGGTCTTCGCTTCAGATAAAAATAAATCTTTGGCCTAGGCGGTGTAATAGTCTATGCCTGATAACTATGGATTTTGACACATTTTATACTCCTTCTTGCTTACGCTTTGATTATAAATTCATACAAAATAGTCCCAAAAGGCTCATAAGTTGTGCTTGATTGCAGGTTTGATCAACAAAGTGACAAGATGTCAAAGATCAGCTCAAAAGGAGTGAAACTTGCACAAGTACCAAAGATAAGACAAACTTAGGAAAACAGACCTAGTGCGTCCGCACTACACTTTGTGCAGTTCGCACTAGGAAGATTCAGAGAGCTGGTATTTCAGGCATTAAGGCAGTGCGGCCGCAGAAGGCACTGAAAGAAATGCGGCCGCACTACCATTCTGTGCGGTTCGCAGAGCCAAGGTTCAGAGAGGGTGAAGTTGGAGCTTTCAAGCCAGTGCGGTCCGTGGTTCAGTTTGTGCGGACCGCACTAGAAGCCTCCGTGGCCGCAGTCCATTCTGTGCAGTCCGCGGAGCCTGAGTTCAGAGAGTCAAGTTTTCAAGTTCAAGAGCCTAGTGCGGCCGCACACCATTTTGCGCGGTCCGCACTAACCCCGCAGGGGCAATTTTGTCTAGATTTTCCAGCTTAGTATGAATAGATCCTTTTTCCATTTTTAGGGCATCAGACATTTTAGAACAGCAGCTGCGCTCGTGGAAAAATCTTTTGTAGCCATTGTGTGCATTGTTACTTACTTTTTATCATTGAATCTTTGTATTTAGTTTAGCAATTAATTAATATGTGTTCATCTTCATCTATTTTTCTATTTTTCTCTTCAAGTATGAGTATCTAGATCCATTATCTAGGGTTGTGGCTTAATCCTAGTGTGGGTAATTGATGGGTGTTGCAATTTAGGTTTAGATTGACTATGGGTATTTGTTATTTGGGTCAATTTCATGGCTTAATTACTGAATTAGTGGTTGCAAACACTAGTTTGTGCTAAGTTGACTTGGGCTCTTCTTGAGAAAGAGTCATCTTGTTGACTTTTCCAACTCAAGCTTCCTCAAAAGAGGCTAAGGGTCTCAAACCTTACCAAAATCGTTCCGGATTCTATCCGACCAACCCGATACCATATAAAATGAATAAACAAAGCATAAAGAAGCAGAAATGGGGGAAACGGAGTAGTAACTCATGAGACGGCTGGCTGGTTCGTCACAAGAAGAAAGGAAATATTTTTGGATTTTTTGGACTTTTATTTTGAATTTTTTGAAAGAAATACTTCTAAAGAAAAAAAAAATTTGAATCTTAAATTTTCTTTTCAATTTTCGAAAGAAGAATGAAAATATTTTTGGATTTTGAGAGTGCGATGGGAATAACATCCAACGACTGAAGACTCCTCGGTAAGAAATGCTATGCCGAATGAATGTATCCGACCTGACGTAGAGCACACATTCACATTAGACCCACCAACGGACCTCAAGACTATTCTGACCATACCATACTGGGCTAATAACCTTTTAAGGATCCACAATGGCCCTATTCATGATGCACACAAGTAGCCGTCTAGTCCATAAGAAATTCCCACAGTCGACAACCAAAGGAATAGAGCGCCTTTCCGGCATAAACTCTCATATTAGCGATATTACTAGAATCTCTACACTTGGTTTCAATCCTTAACAATCAAGTGACTAACATGTCACACTTATACAATTCTCACGTGGGATAAGCCCACATGACCTTCTGCACTAGGTAGTAAAATCTGTGTTAATTATAAGTTTCAATGATGAAAAATAATATATTACATTTGGTGTAGGGTCTCAAGGAATATATTTAAGGGATTAAAAAAGCAATACTAGTTAAGAATAGATTAAGGGAAATAAACAATGATCATCAACGCAAAAGGAAAAAGTAGCGGAGATCCAGCAAGAACAGTCAATCAGTGACTGATGGAAGCTAACAAGGAAAAGAATCAGCGATGAAAAAGGAAGAAACAGCGGAGATCTAGAAAGGATAATCAATCAGAGATTAGCGAAAGCTATTACTAGAAGGTCCCAAATCAAAGGGAAATGTAAGCACTGAAAATCAATGAAGCCAAAAATCAAGGGATCCAATGGATATGACTCAAGTACCACAGAGATATGCCCAACCGATGGAAAGCTCATCAAGACCATAAATCAAGGAAGATTAACAAGAACTTAACTTTATTCTTGGAAAGAATCAATCTATGATTCCTTTCAAGGATCAACTCCCTTGGCTTTGTAATCTCTCAAGATTCTTGAAGGCCTCATGAAAAGTATATATACAGACGTTCCCGACGTGAAAAGGATATACTTTGAAAGAACCATCTACCCTATTTTTGTTCTACTCCAAACAAGCATTTAGTTCCTTTAGATCTGTTGTGTAACTAGTGAGAGAAGAAAAAGAGTTAAACACTGGTAAGGCATTGTATCAAGAAAAGAAAAGAGACATAGAGACTAAGCTATTAGTATAAAGCTACACTATTCATTCTGTACTCAAGAAACATCGATCACTGAAAGAGAACACCCTTGCAATCCAAGAGGACTGGACTAGGATTCGCATTGAAATCAAACCAGTATAATAATTCCGGTGTCTTTATTTCCTGCATTTTATTTCTGCATTTACTATTATCCCTTTCTTTTTTCTAGTTGACTAATTGGTAAACTAGTCAACTACTTATAAACGTTTTAAAAAAATAAGCAATCCCCCCCCCCCCC